GTGAAGTAAACGCAACATTTTTCAACTTTCTGCTAAGATATATGTGACTTTTTTGCAACGAAAATGCATGGATTATGAAATCATGCAAGCCCCGCATATATTGCGCGGAAATCGGCAATTTATGCGGCGAAAGTGCGGCCCCCAGCATAAATATGTGGACTTCAGCTGATTATGTGTTGAATTATGCGATCGTATAATCGCGTTTTTCTGGAGGGACTGATAAACTAACTCCTATAATTAATGTCTGGTCGTCTTTTCTTCAGCGTTCAAGTTCTGCCTTCAGTACACCCGTAAGGCAGAATTTCGCAAGCTGTGCGACAACCTGCGCATGCACCTGGGTCAGATCCAGCGGCACCACAACCAGAGCACCGCCATCAACCTGAACAACCCCGAGAGCCAGTCCATGCACCTGGAGACGCGCCTGGTGCAGCTGGACAGCGCCATAAGCATGGAGCTCTGGCAGGTCTGTCAACAACAAATCTCTCAAAGGATCGTCTCAGCGTGCATGTTTTAGTCTACTTAATACACATTTAAACCCTTAAAACGTGTTTAAAAAGTGTGTAGTCCCTTAAAATGATATTATTCCTGATTTCTGAGTGTTTCTGTTTATTCCAGGAAGCATTCAAGGCTGTTGAGGACATCCATGGCCTGTTTGCTCTTTCCAAGAAGCCCCCCAAACCCCAGCTGATGGCCAACTACTACAACAAGGTGTCAACTGTGTTCTGGAAATCTGGAAATGCTCTCTTCCACGCCTGCACCCTCCACCGGCTCTATCACCTCTCCAGGGAGATGCGGAAGAATCTGACCCAAGATGAGATGCAGAGGTGTTTTATTCTTTATCTGTTGATAGCTGCACACATGTTACTGCAGTAGTGATTAAATGATTAGTAACGCTTACGTCTGCTCTTCAGGATGTCCACCAGAGTCCTCCTGGCCACGCTGTCTATTCCCATCACCCCCGAGCGCACTGACATCGCTCGGCTGCTGGACATGGATGGCATCATTGTGGAAAAGCACCGCAGGTTGGCCACGCTCCTCGGCCTGCAGTCCCCACCAACCCGGCAGAGTCTCATCAATGATATGGTACATAAAGGGCAAAAGAAATAAGTGTTTAAGTGTTTTCAGCAGTGTAATCCAAGAAAGAAGGAAAGTTCTTGATTGTTTGCTTTTGTGAATGTTATTTTAAGGAAAATTTGTTTTAACTTTGGCTTTAAATGTTTTCTTAAAGGTGTTTTTAACAAATGTATATTTTTACGTTTGCACTCTAGGTGAGATATAACTTGCTGCAGTATGTCGTACCCGAAATAAAAGAGGTTTACAACTGGCTTGAGGTCGACTTTCATCCCCTGAAGCTGAGCGGAAGAGTGACCAAGGTACACAGTCTGACTGCAGTCAGCTAGATAATAAGGAAAATGTACCATCCGTCTTTGTAGTTATATTCGTTTAACTAGTATAATAACAGACTTGCTCCTCTACTAGGTGTTGAACTGGGTGAGAGATCAGGCTGAGAAGGAGGCTGATCTGCAGCAGTATGTCCCTCACCTGCAGAGTAACACCATCCTGAGGCTCCTGCAACAGGTAATTCTCTTCAGTCTGTTCCAAACACTCTCCTAAATCACATCGACACTGTAAAGGTAGAAATGTCTCTCATTATTCTGTGTCCATTATGTTAGGTTGCACAGATCTACCAAAGCATCGAGTTCACCCGTCTGGCCTCCCTGGTTCCATTTGTGGACGCCTTCCAGCTGGAGCGCTCCATTGTGGACGCTGCGCGGCACTGTGATCTGCAGGTACGGTCCAGTCCAGGAGAGAGGATCCATTAAACCAGCAAGAGTGTACAGCAATGGGGATGTTGAGGCTTAATAGTGGTAATCATCCTGTTTTACTTCATCTAACATTTCCTTTTTCCCCTCATAGGTCCGTATAGACCACACCTCTCGAACTCTAAGCTTTGGCTCTGACCTGAACTATTCGACCAAAGAGGACTCCCCTGTCGGTCCTTTCCTACAGAACATGCCCTCAGAGCAGATAAGGAACCAGCTGACCGCCATGTCTGCTTCTTTGGCAAAGGCCATCCAGGTTATCAAGCCTGCCTCCATCCTGGTGAGTTCACAACACGCTCTCGTGTATAGACACACAGAGACCAGAGCACATAACACAGACATTATGGAACAATAATGCTTTATTCCTCAACTCTAAACTACATTTTGATGTTCTTGTCCCTTCTCAGCAAGAGCGTGATGAGCAGAGCCAGCTGGCCATTGCTGCCTATCTCAAAAATGCCCGCAAAGATCACCAGCGCATCCTGGCTCGTAGACAGACCATTGAGGAGCGTAAGGAGCGCCTGGAGAGCCTGAACATTCAGCGTGAGAAGGAGGAGCTGGAGCAGCGGGAAGCTGAGATGCAGAAGGTTCGCAAGGCTGAGGAGGAGCGTCTGCGCCAGGAGGCCAAAGAGAGGGAGAAGGAGCGCATCATGCAGGAGCACGAGCAGATCAAGAAGAAGACAGTCCGTGAACGACTGGAGCAAATCAAGAAGACTGAACTTGGAGCCAAGGCCTTCAAGGATATTGATATTGAGGTAAAACGAACCAAAATAAACTTGATTCATTAGGTGGAATTCCATATTACAGAAATAAGACGTATAAAGTTCAAAGGTGAGACTAACCAATCTGTTTTTTTGGTTTGTTTGTTACAGGATCTTGAGGAGCTGGATCCCGACTTCATTATGGCCAAACAGGTGGAGCAGCTGGAGAAGGAGAAGAAGGAACTTCAGGAGCGTCTGAAGAACCAAGAGAAGAAGGTAACTGAGCGTCAATCAGTGAAAACATTGTCCACCTCGAGGTGAATTGGTCACTAATTTTCCTTTCTCTCCAGATTGACTACTTTGAGAGGGCAAAACGCCTTGAAGAGATTCCTCTTATCAAGAAGGCTTATGAGGAGCAACGTATCAAGGACATGGAACTATGGGAGCTCCAGGAGGAGGACAGAGTATGTAAAGAACAAAAAAAAACACTAAAAAATAACAAACAGGTCAAACAAAACTGAGTATCCAGAATGTAAGAATTTTCTCTTTTCCTTTTTGTAGATCAGTAACATGAAAGTGGAGCGGGAGAAGGCTCTGGAGCACAAGAAGCGCATGTCCAGGATGATGGAGGACAAAGAAAACTTCCTGGCCAAAATAACTGATGCCCGTAGCTTCGTTTATGAGGTAAGAACATGAGAACGAGAGGGCAGTTTTGCTTTCCCGCCTCTTTTCAGTTGGACTCAACATTGTCTGTCTGAATCAGTGGTTTTAAATACACTCTTCTATCTTTGAAGGAAAAACTGAAGGCTTTCGAGGAGCGCTTGGTGGAAGAGAGGAAGAAGCGTCTGGAAGAAAGGAAGAAGCAGCGCAAAGAGGACAGGCGTAACAATTTCTACCGCCAGAAAGAGGAAGAGGCACAGCGTATCCACGAGGAGCAGCTGAAGAAAGGTGATTCATTTCTTTCGCACTTGGAGCCAACCAGTCATGATGAAGGAGGGACAGGATTTCACATGCCACAAAAACCGACAGTTACCACCAGGAGGAAACTGGAGGAAATGTTGGCAGTAGTGGTTAAAGTGGTTCTTTTGTGGGACATTAGTACTACTTGAGAGTTGAACAAAATTTTCATGGTAACAAAGTTTGTCAGAAAATGTTTTCCACTTAAATCTTTGTTACTTTTCTGATCGTGGCAGAAACTTCAAGTACAACACAATCCTGCTTTATGCTCTTAATACTTCTGTCTGCGTTAATGTAGTTTGAACACGCCTCATTCCTGCTTTTTTTCTTTCGTTACAGAGCGCGAGGAGCGTGAACGTCTGGAACAAGAGCAGCGAGAGGAGGAGGAGCGGGAGTACCAGGAGCGTCTGCGTAAGCTTGAGGAGCAGGAACGGAAGCAGCGTGCTCGTCAGCAGGAGATCGAGGAGCGAGAACGCCGTCGCGAGGAGGAGAGAAGGGTCCCCCCAGAGGAGAAAGCCAAGGTACGAACCATTTTAATCTAGACTCAATCTTAATCTTGATATTAGACTTAATCTCAACAGTTCAATGTCCGACTCTCCATCTCCATTATATCAATTTAACTTCTTTCACAAACAATGAAAATGAAAACACAAATTCTGTTTTTAAAACATCTGTTTTGCTTAAACAGGACTGGGGTGAGAAGGAGGAGAAGAAGGAGGAGGGAGGGTGGAGGAGGCGCACAGATGCGGTTGAAACATCATCAGAGTGGCGTCGTCCTGCGGCTGTGCCTGAGAGGTAAGTGTTGGTAGCTCAGCTTTTTAATTGTTGACCCCAGTAAACCATGAGGGGCTTACAATACCTGTGTTCCTCTCTAGGGACTGGAGAAAGGAGGACCGTGAAGAGGACAAAGAGGAGAGAGAGGTGCCCTTCAGGCGAGGAGATGCTCCCCGCAGGGGCGCAGATGATCGAGGACCCCGTCGGGGCTTTGACGATGACCGACCCCTGCGTCGCGGCGGCGAAGAAGACCGTCCTCTGCGCCGAGGCCTGGACGATGACCGTCCTCTGCGCCGAGGCTTTGATGAAGACCGCGGCCCAAGGAGGGGTGGAGATGAAGACCGCGCCCCGAGACGTGGCTTTGATGATGACCGTGCTCCCAGGCGTGGCTTCGACGATGACAGAGCTCCCCGTAGAGGCATGGAGGACCTGAGGGGTCCCAGACGTGGGGCCGATGACGACTGGGGAAGAAGAGGAGGAGATGATGACAGAGGTGGAAGGAGAGGCATGGATGACGGGCCACGTCGTGGTGGTGATGACCTCAAACCCTGGAAGCCCCTGGTCAGATCTGGTAAGCCTGTAGCCGCCGATGAGTGACGATGTCTTATAATGTACCTGAACGACGGTTCAGGACGCTCGGCTGCTGTGTTTATGTACAAGAAGGATGATGAGTTGTGGTTCAGTTGCAGGTGGTTGGCGTGAGCGGGAGAAGGCCAGAGAGGAGAGCTGGGGTCCTCCTCGCGGTGAAGCCAGTGAAGATAGAGATGAAGGTGAAGGAGAGGAAAATCCCAGAGACCGTCGCCCACCAAGGTGAGAAAGAGTATCCATCTATTTATTTATTTATTTATTCATTTATTCATTTATTTTCGTCATAAATGCAAATGATCGTTACCTTTGAGTCAATCTGTGTCATTAAATGTTCACAGGGAGGAAAATACCTGGAGGAGAGGAGGCACAGAGGAGGTAAGCGCCTGGAGAGGCAAAGACGACGCCGACCGTGACGAGCGCCGTGGTGAAGAGCGCCGCGTTGAACGCCGTATTGAAAGCCGTGGTGAAGGCCGCGGTGAAGAGCGCCGCGGTGAACGTGAAGTCAGAGCCCCACCCAGAGATACTGATGAAGGTAAGCAGAGGGGGAATTATGCTGCGTTCACATGGATTCAGACAGACGGACAGCAGTTACCATCGTGGGTTTTCTCTGAATCCATGTGAACGCAGCATTAGGAAACCATTAAATATGCATAGTTGTAGGATGCATCACAGTTTTCCCTTCAACATGTGACACAATTAAGCATTCACTAGGATCAGTGACCATGTGATCAACACATTCCAGCAGTTACATGTTCAAACTGTTTCAATTAGCCTCACAGACTCGAAATAGAAAGAAAATCTCTCCTAAGTAGGCGTGAACTTTATTTTTCACTCTGGTCTAATGAAATAATTGGTAAACTACATGGAGGTGTTGTATTCAGCCAGCAGGGGTCGCTGTTTACCTGTGAAATTACTGCTGCAGCAGTTGTCTTTAAAAGACACCCAACAAAACAAATATATAACCTCCTCAACTGCAGTTCTGCTTGTAAAAATAAGCGCTTCCTAATGTGCGTCTTTGTTTCCTCAGGAGGTTCTTGGCGTCGTGGTGGCGAGGAAAAGAGGGAGGAGCGGCCCAGAGAGAGGGAGCGTGAGGTTGATGGAGATAAGAGTTGGCGCAGTGACAAAGAAAACCCTCGTCGCACCAAGAACGAGACAGATGATGATGGCTGGACCACCGTCCGCCGCTGAGCAACAATCTCTGCATCTAATTGGCTCGGTTAATTGGCTTTGAACAAGAAAAATACGAAATACTAATATTCAGTATCCCATCAGCCAGTTAGCCACAGTGGTGAATGAATGGTTACAAGCTCCTGATACTCATGTGCATTGTTCCTTTGAATGAAATATTTGTAGACTGTAGTTTTTTCTGGGGATTTATTTTCCATTTATCTTTAATAATTTTGATTTTCAGCTGTTTTTGAACCAGAAGCTATGAACTTGTGTGCACTTAGGCTTCACGCAAACCATCAGTGTGAACATGACTGCCCCCAGTGGTTAGGAGTGTCACTACCTTACATGATGAAGTGAAACTGACTCGAGTGAAAACACGTGTACCTGCTCCGGCTGTCAATCCAAACTCAGTGTATCACCAACTGCCTCTTTTTAAATAATTAACCTCTGCAATTTGTCATCTGCTTCAGTGATCTCTGCTCCTCATCTAACCCTTCAGATGCTTCTTAACCTGGTTAAGATCTAGTGGAATTTACATTTTGATGTGCATGCATAGAGTATTAAATTGGTCCTGCTTGATCATCCAGTATGTGGTTCTATCTTGCTGCAGTCCAAGGTATCAAAACCAGGTTGCATGTGTACAGATAAAGCCTTTATTATAAAAAAATAAAGATGTTTGCTCACCACCTAATTGTTGCTTTTGTCTCCAACAGTGTCTGATTTATTAAGAGAAACATAAATACTTTACATTTTTTATAATCCATCATTTTATATTCGTGGTAAACCATTTTTATTTTGTCATTTACAAACACAAAGAGCTTTATAGTTGTATTGAACTGTGTCTGACTTACAGTGCAAACAATGATTCACTAAAGACAACTGCAGTTAACAATTGCATTAAAAATAGAAATACTGAATATAAAATGTGGTTTTATTGAACTTTAATGTTTTACTGAACATATTGTAGAATTATTTGAGGAATTCTAAACGACTGATATAAATATATCAGAACAAAAAAAAAACATGCAGTAATTTCTTTGTTTTTAAGATCACTACAGATAATTTGACTTAAGCTGATTCTATTAGTCCACGTTATTATATTTGAACCCTTTCTGACAAACTAAAGTGGAAATACAACTTTATTGTTACCTGTGTTGTTACCTGTGTACACTGAAGAACAAACTTAGTTCTAGTATCAGCTCTAACTGTCCTAACTCCAACAGAGTGCGACCCCAGAGAAAAGTCTTCATGTTTTCGGTGCACTTGCTGGATCTCTGCTCTCAAAGGACCACCAGCACCACCACCACCAGCACCAGCATGGCACCAGCTCACCACACCAGCACCGTGTGACCACTAGAGGTCGGTAAAGCACCGTGGAGAGGAGCGACACGCTTCACTGTGTGAGAGCAAGGCGGAGGTGTGTTGGTTGACTCTGTGTATAAGTCAGGAAGATATAAGCATGCAGGCAGCGGTCAGTGTGCAGCCACTTAACAAACCAGCAACGTGCTGTTAGAGCTGCTAAAAAAAACCTCGACCATGCTGAACCTTTCCTTAAAAAATGCTGCTTGTTCTGTAACAAGAAATGGCTGAATTATGCTGCCCTGTCCCGATTTATAGCCACTATAATAATAATAATACTAATACTAATACTAATATTACTACTACTACTACTACTACTAATAATAATAATAATAATAATGTGTCTCTTTGTTCAGACACAGGCTGATATTCATTTGGTTTTATTACAAAATAAAATTAAAGCGACTTGAAATAAAACATCCCACTCAGTGATTCTCCACAGTGCTGATGATAATAACAATGTAATCTGGACTCAGACATATTTTTTAAGATGTAAAATCCTGCGGATTGTGTTTCTGTACAGCTGCTGCTGCTCTGACAGCTCAGAGAGCTCATTTTATTCTGCACTGTGTATTTTATTCCACAGACCTTTAACCTACCCGCACAAATAAAAACCCCAAGCTTCGCATCGACAATGTATCCTAGCGACGATAATAATAATAATAATAATAACAATAATAAAAATAATAATAA